TTAGAAGAAACCCTAAACCCTACACCCCTTCGGGCTCTCTGGGCTTGCTCTGCTTCCAGCGTTTAGGGTTTAGGGTTTAGGGTTTAGGGGGGGTCTCTTCGAGGGTTCCTTAGGGTTCCTCGGCCTCCCTTCAGGTTCCTCGGGGTTAGCTTGGGGTTTAGGGTTTAGTAGGGTTTACGGTTTAGGGTTTAGGGTTTAGTAGGGTTTAGTAGCCTTTGGCGTTGAGGGTTCATTTTTGCACGGCTTGGTGCAAAGCTCGGTCAGTGATCAGACGATTCCACAACCCCTAGGTAGTATTATTAGGGGTACCCCGTTTACGGTTTAGGGTTTAGGGTTTAGGGTTTGGCTCTCTTAAAAGGGACCTCATTGAGAGGGTCTATATCCCCAAGGGTCTCTCTAATCCTAGCTCCCAACCCCGACAAGGTCAAGGCGAGGGTGGAGCCAGCTGGGTTCTTTCAACTCAGGGTCTCCGCTCTTCTGCTTCGAGCACTAGCGCGGCCCCGCTTGGAGATGTGGAGATGCCCCAATCCCTGAGCCTCAACCCAAAAACCCCGAAACCTTAAACCCCTAAAGCCCCCAACCCCTAAACCCTAAACCCCTGAGGCCCAAAACCCGAAACCCTTAAACCCTAAACCCCATAAACCCTGAACCCCAAAGCCCAAACCCCTCAACCCTAAAGCCTTCAACCTTAAGCGCCATAAGCCCTGGAACCCAGTGAGCCACAAACCCTCGTAGTTCGTTGAATTAAGGGACAATAGCAGGGACCCCTAATCCTAATACCCTATATAACTTTTATATACCCCTTATACAGTCTCATAATAAAGCCCCTATATAACCCCAAGGGTCCCTTTAAGGGTCGCTCCTTTACTTCCTTCATTGAAGCAGCAGGAGCGGCGGGACCACTCCAGCGTAGAGGAGATCCTTTGTTTTTCGTTGCAGGGTTCGGGGTTTGGAATTCATGGTCTGTCTTGGGGTAACATATATATACACATAACCCTAAACCCTAAACGGTTTTAGGGTTCACCATTGAGGGCTCCGGGTTCGTAAGGGCAGCTGGTTTTGGGTGTAAGGTTCATGCAGGGTTCAGGGTGCGGTATTTTATCTTGGGGAATTACGGTTTAGGGTTTGGGGTTGTGCATGGGTAATTCCTTTCCTAACCATGCTAAGTAAAAGCCGTAACGGCCAGCAACATGACCATAAACGTCGATGGGATCAAGGGGGTCAACAGAATCAGGGGGTCCCCACATGGACTATAGTGAGTATGCCGTGCTAGAGAAGATCACAGAACAGATCTACTGCTGAGGGGCTTGTTTTCTGCCTTCGGCGATCAAAAAAAACCCAAAGTCGAAGATCCAAATTCCGTAAACCCGAAACCCCAAACCCCCCCAAAAGTCGAAGACCCCAAATTCCAGAAGCCCTCGTGTCAAAGAGGTGTGTGAGAAGCCCCAGGTCGTTTTGGATTTCTCAAAGAGCACCGGAGAACATGTAGATCTACAGGTTTAGGTTTCATAGGCTTTAGGGTTTAGCGGTTAGGGTTTAGGGTCTCGACACACGATATGATCTGACAGTTGACCCCCTGATGTGTTGAGACGAGCAGACTCCAAACGCTTTGAGACTTTGCGGCAACGAAAACACCTCAAACCCTACACTGCAAGTCCCGAACCGAAAAATCTCAACCTGAATTCTAAACCCTGTAAACCCGAAACGCCCTATTATAAACCCTAGAATCCTAATTTATAAGCCCTACAATCCTGAACTTCCGAAGTTCTGAACCCAAATCCGCAAATGCCGATGTGGCAGTTCGCCGCGGAGCTGAACCTTACGCGGGGTCTTGACAGCCGGGGCCTAGGACGGCTCTCAGATTATATTTTTCAGTCTGGATTGTAGGTTTCAAAGTAAGGTCAGTTTGGGTAGTGAGTTTTGGTGAGTCGATAAAGGTAAAGTGAGTGTTTAGACATTTCGGGCCATTAGGTTTAGTGACTTAGTGTTGGTGGGTTGGTGTCCAGCTTTGAATGCTCTGGGCCTTTTCGGAGTGAGGCTTTCAGGGCCACGCGAGGGTGGAGTAAAGAAAGCCCTGCATGGAACCGTGCAGAACCCTGTTGTGAAAGGCATAGAATGTAATGTAGGGGCCTAAATAAT